AACACAATTTAATTCACACTAAAATAAAGACCAATCATTCAATATTTTTCTGTTAAAGACCAAAGGCATATGCTATGTTCACTGAACAATTAGGTCCCATTATTGTCACCTCAGTTGTGACACCTGATATCTTCAGCAAACAGTCCTAGGGAATGACAATGCTTCTTATGGTATTGTTATTTTTTCGAGTTCCTTGGTATTTTTCTCTGATCCTCAATGCTTGCCTTAGGTGACTTTACAGTTCCCAATGATTATAAAGCTGCAGGGAGCTAGCTTTCTGATACAAGCATTAATATAGAACACGTGTGCATGCACATACACACATATAATATGGAACACACACACACACACACACACACACACACACACACACACACACACACACACCACTGTGAGACCAAAATGAGCCATCTTAGAAATAAGACCAAAATGCTTTCACCCAAAAACTAAGGCCCAAGATTTCTCCTTTTAGGAATAGGCCATTAGTTACTGAAACCAGTCAGTTCAGATTCCAGAAACCAGGAAGTGTAAAAGTAGAGTCACAAGATAGTCATGAGGTAATGCCTGCCAGACTATGGAATGTCCTCTCCCTGGTTTCCAGGGTAACTGACCACAGAAATGCCCCCACCTGAGGGCAGCCAATGAGAAATGGTGGCGGGCAACCACTCCCTTAGAAGTAGTTTCTAGAAGTCCCTAGAAGTGAGCCAATCAGAATTGTACCTGTACTAGCACCAATAATGATGTAACCTTGTGACTTTTCCCTTTAAAAACTGAGCTTGCAGACAGGTGGGCGCTTCCTCCAGCCTCCACTGCGTTGGATGTATTGGACGAAGTCCCTGCCTAGGCTTGTATTGCTTTTGAATATCCAGAATTGAACCTTGCTTTTGCATTCCGGCATGCTCGTCTTTGGTGGTCTCTCTGGGGGTCACGATCTGGGCTCAACATTACCACCACCACCCAGTTGAAACATGGTTCCAGTATAACTCATTGTAAATGAGAAGATGATATTGAATTCTGTGAGAGAAACCTAGCAAACAAAAGGAACTATGCTGAAACTCCTATTGTAAAGCAAGAACTCTTTCCAACAAGGAAACAAATGTAACTTAAGTTATTACCTTACATATAAAACTAGATTTTCAATTTTTTGGTTAAAAACATACATATAGAATTTAAGTATATTAATGCTCATTAAAATCTTTCCAAAAAACATAAAGAATAGGACAGCAGGAACACTCATTTGGAAGTAAGCCAGAAAACCCGAGTGTGATCCTGGGACCCACGTGATGAAACAATTCTGAAGTTTACCTCAAGTTGTATTCTGACTTCCATGCACATATCATGGCACTTGAAATCCCAGTAATAAACAAACAAACCAAATAAATTTAATGGGTTTTTCAAAAAAAAAAAAGAACAAGCATAAAACATTTATTATTTCATTGCTTTTCATACTTATGGGATATATTATCTTTGGCTTGAAGAAGTTGCTACACTGAGTTTCCTGGTGGTTAGTGGTAAGCATTGGGGCATGAACTAACTGTGGATCTTAGTGAGTCTATCAGCTACTTAAAAGTATGCAACAAGGACAAATTATCATAGACAACAAACCAATGTGTCATATACATGCACAAAACAGGTTATACAAAACAATTAGAACAATTTTTGTGAAAACAGGCAGTCAGGATCTGAGTTTCCTGCAAAGACATTGGGTTCACATGGTTCAAGAACCTGGGGCTTCCCAGGATAAATCACTAGGCAATGAAACTAAGGGAGAGTTGGGTGGAGATGGGAAAGATTAATGGATAAAAAGTCTCTAATTTGTATAGAGTTTTTAATAAAGAAAAGTAAAAAAATCACACTACATAAGTTAAGAGTATCAAACAAAAAATTCCTAAATATATTTGACAGGCTAATCAACAGGGTAAAATATGAGAAAGTGTGTTTACAGAGACAGGAGTTTAAAACACAGACTGGCAGAGACTATCAAGCAGGAAGGATAGGTATAGGGAATTGACATGGATATAAAAATGAAGGTCATCTGGGTTAGATAGGTATAGCATATAGGGAGCAATTAGCAGACCAGCTGTCGTTCACACAGTAGATTTTGACTTCCATGTGTACCCACAACATTCATTCATGGAGCCTACATATGCAGTCCTCTCTATTATTTACTTTTCTTGTCACTATGGTAGACACTGACAGAGACAACTCAAAGTAGGAAGGCTTATTTTGGCTTGTGGCTTCAGGAAATGCAATCCATCATGGTGAAATGAAATGCCACTGTCACTCTCTCCACGGAGGTGGGGGTTTCACAGGAGGAGATGGAGGCTCATTCACCTTGTGATTGCCGAAGAAGAAATTAATGGTTGGAACCAGAAGTGAACACCACCTTCCAGGTTCACTCCTGTTCACATTTGGCGAGCTAGACCACAGTCCTAAGGTTTCCATGACCTCCCAAAGCAATATCATCACCTGGTAACACATTCAAACACAAGAGCACGTAGAGTACATTAAACATGCAAAACATAACACTCTCTCACTCTACTGTTCACCTTGAAAACTTGAATGCAAGCTCTAAGAAATAAGGGTCTAACCTCAATTATATACTGTTAATTTGTCAGCACCTAGAACAACACAGACAGGGATCACAAAAAATATTCCTTCAACATTTATAACGTCACAAAATTCAGTTAAACTTAGTTTTGGAACATTTTCTGATTTTCCAGATAACAGAGTTAAAAAGTTGAGTTAGAAGCACAATGGGCTGAAATCAAATAGACCTAGTTCAACCGCTCTTTAGAGTTATTGAAAGAGAATAAATGACTTAAGTTTTCTGAAATTCCATTTTCTAGTAAAACAAAAAATGCTATCCAATTGTTGTTGTGCCTAGTGTTCAACTTGGCACACATTGATTACCCAGACTGTAACAGCATTGACTAAGAGTAGGCAACCTCCCATTGTGTCTTCTACCTAAATCTCAAGTTGTTCACATCTGAATTATAGTACTAGGCACTGTGTATTAGATAATATCATGCTCAATCTTTTTGATGGAAGGAACTGTCTGTTACCTATTTATTTACCAATTTTAGAAAATTCTGCTCTTAAAATTAATTCAAAATGCTAAAACTTCTATTTGTATTAAACCAGAGTACTGTCTCTTAATATCAATATTATAAATGCTGTGTTTGTCTTAATGGTATTTACATTCATGTTCATTTTTTTATTCAGTTAGTTATATGATCTGTGCACAGAAGGGGAAGCTAGTTTGTATTTATACATTATTGGTGTTTACCAAACCATCTTAAGCATGAATGCTTATCATGTGCAGAACAAGAAATATGGAAGCTGTAAACGTGTACAGTATTAAGAAAGGTGTTATTAAGAATATAATGTCTTTCACATGATGTTATATCTAAGACATTTCAAATTTATATTAGAAAGTGTTTCCTTAAGTAGTTTTGATAAGGATTCTAATGTAAAATACTAAATTAGGGAAGAACAAAAGTAGTTATTATTGCCTTGCATTATAGAGTCTGATATATGAGCTTTTCTTATAGTCCTGATTTTTGAACCAGTATCCACAGGACTTTGTTACTTAGTCCAGTTCACCCTCTGCATGGTACAGTATGCAGGACAGAGAAGCAGGTGAAGTTGATTTGATTGCTAGAGATGTAGCTATCATGCTCTTCTGAGAATACCAGTCTGTTTAGATAGACAGAAATAAGAAAGAAAGAATGCAGCAGGGTTAATTTCAAATTATATTTTTAGATAATAGTGATACTATGGAAATTTTATTTTATCAAGCTATCATGTTGTAATGTGGGAATTTATCTAAAGGCAGTAAAAACAAAATCCTGGTCATATGGAATAAACAAACTACTATATTTTGTTTTCATTTTCTTTCCAATTGGTTGCTATGACTTAACCACAGAGTTACTGTGAATAATGGTGAATTTTGAAGAGTAACTTTGGGAATCATCAACCAGTAGCAACAGCAGACACATATACAGATGTGTGAATACACAAATAAAGTAAACCTTTTCTTTACCACCTGCATCTAAGATTAGTAACATACTTAAAATTAGAGTCCTTTATAAATATTGGGATAATATTCTTATAATATGCTTACAACTTTGTATTCCAAAATTTTCTTTTTATTTTCATTCTGATTTTTCTTTTTTTTTAAATTTTTATTAGCACTTACAGTTGTACTTAATTAACCAGCTAATTCTGAGATTTTCATGTGACATTTAAATTCACGTTGCTCATATTTACTACCTATTTTCTCTTTTCACAAACTGTTCTTTGGTGTTACTGAGAATAAAAGAATTTGACCAAGTACATTTTTTAGTGTAAAATATAATTTTATAGCTTGCAATTAAAAATATAAATTAAGTAGTCTGCAAAAGAAAAACAAGTGCTATCAAGTGGAAATGATGTGCTCATAGTGATTTAACTAAAATGGGTAACATTAGACCCCCCAAAAACCGACAAAATGAAAAAAAAAATCAAACGAAATAATGACAATTCCACCCCACCCCCAAAAACAATATTAACAATGAAACAAACAAGCAATGTAGCAATTGTTAGCTGAAATTACAGAGACATTTTAAGATTCGTACACTAAGACATCACAGCACCAGCATGCTGGGAAGTGGCTAAGCTGGCAAGCAAATCACCGCTATTAGATCCCATTCATGATTTAAATTCTGCTATTTTATCTCTTCATAACATGCAGTACTTTTTCAACCTCACATTTCCAGGCATTTCAGCTCCTGCTGACATAAGTGCTTTCCCAAAATAGAATGTCACAGCAATCTTCTGCTAGACATCTACGCCCATTTGTGCATGTATTTTTTAGGATGCTTTTTTTTTTTTTTTTTTTTTTTTCCTCTTAACTGTGAGAGGGTCTGGAAGGCAGGGTTAGAATGAATGAGACCTTGTTTTCTAAAACGACACTAGACACTTTATCTACTCTTAAAAAATAAATCATGGTCTCCTACCTTAAAAACAAACATCTCCCGTCGAAGAATAGCTAGAGTGTTGAAGTTCCCATCACAGATGTTGGGTTTGGCTCCTGGATAGGAAGGTCTGCCAGTGGGAGGCCGGGGAGGCTTTGGCCTGTCATTTTTCCTTGGGTCAGCCGGAGGGACAGATCGGTGAGGGGGCACTGTCGGTAGAGGTCTTGTGGGTGGAGGGATCTTGTCAGGTGGACCTTTTGAAAACATGAGGACAGTGCTTGGCTCACTTAAAACTGGAATAGTGCTGGAAGATATGCTACAGAGAACAAGTGCTTATCAGCAGAGGGCACAGACTAAGCAAGCTAAGAGGTCGTTAAGATCGAATATTTTCTGAAAACACAAACCCTCCAACCCTCCCAACGGTCCTAATAAGGCTGGAGTTCAGCTCTTAGCACTATGACTTCTTTGTTAATTTTTACTGAGTTTTATTTTATAGCTTCAACCCAGTCACTGTTGGATAGTTGCTCTCAAAACCTGTTTGGAAGTAGGTTTTTCATGAAAAAACAGAAGTATGAGAATAAATACTGGACTCATATCTGTGCACTTCATTCAAGAGGAAACTGGACTTTGCCAGGTGTTGATCCCATGAAAATATTTCCCAAAGATAAACACACTAGCAAATCAAAGGTTATTCTAACATATGTCTCCAACTATCCATTATAAACCTTTACCAATTTCACTATTTTATTTTAATGAAATGTCCTGACAAATAGCTCAGTGTTTCACTTAAATAATGAATCTAAAGTGTCCATTGATTAACATAACACTGGTGAAATATTAATGTAAAGCATTTCTTAAAAAAGGCTTCCAAGTCGAGCCAAAGTTTACTCATGTAATTTGCAACAGATGTTAGCCATAATTCCTCATGGGACTGATGCTCTTTCTCTTTAATAAATAGAGTTGTTCACACTTAAAATTTAGATATGGGATGGATATTCTTTCACAGCCCTACAATCTAGACTACAAATTCATGAGGTCATGAGAAAGAGACTTCTTCGAGCTAACCATGTATAAGGAATTGATGATGACACACACAGTCAATGGATCTCTCTCTCAATATCCAAGCTCTTTAGATTTGTGTCTGTGACATGTATCAGCACATCCAATCCAATTTCAAATTTACTTTAACCCTACGAGAATGATTATGACTTCACTATTAAAATTGAAAAACTAATAAATGCAAAACAAATTAGTGCACATGAATTACACTGTTTAAAATGCAAATCATACCTTCTGGATACAAACTTGACAGACTGATAGCACACACATATCTTTCTAAAAATGAAAGCTTCATTTCCTTGATCTAGCAAAGCATACCTGCTATAGGTAAATAATGGACATCAAAATCTCAATAATATGTGAAATAAATGTCTTTACAAAGGTCACTGGTTATACTGAGAAAGTAATGGTCACAGTAAATATGCATGATAGTTTTTCTACATTTCTCTTAACTTGCATTTGCTGAATAAAGCTTATTAGTAAAACAATACTACCAAACTAGAAATATAGTTTGAAATCTTGGAAATGTAACCCATGCAATCTGTTGATAAAAACCTAGCCACTTATTTGCTTTCATGCCTTTCTTGTTGACTTTCATTCTGACCCAATAGTTATGCCTTTGAGGTCAATACGTTCTCATATTGTGTAACTTATTTTCTTGACCCTGAAAAGTGGTTTGTCTTAGAATTAACAGGAATTTTAAACACTAAGTCCAGTTGTCAATGGAGGAGACAGTTTTCTTATATTATGTCGCTATTTGTACTTTTACCTATGTTTATGAGGTTATTATTTATTTTAATATACTACTACCTAAATTTTAAATGTGCACATTATTTTCATGAGTGTAAGTTTCCACCAAACTCAACAAGAAAGCTCTATCAGTGATTAAGTCTTTCTGGTAATTTATATTTTAAGATTTGGGGGACAATTGCCAATATAACTTGACTGATGATAGAATATTGCCCATAGGACAGAACATTTTTCTTCCATTTTTCTCTGTCCTTTGACTCTACCTCAAAGGAAAAAAAAAGTGCATGACTTCTAGTTGCTCCAAATAATTAGGAAAACAGGAACATTGGAACCTACCATATATTTTCTGGATGCCCTGTAAATCATCATTAGGGAGCTTGAAGTTGTCCGTTTCCATGTACTGGTAAAATGGTGCCATGATAGCAGTGGGGTCATTGGAATGCTCCAGTCCTAGAGCATGCCCCAGTTCATGAACTGCTACAAGGAATAAATCATTTCCTGTCAAAGGAGAAGAATAGAGGTTAAGATTATTGCAAGTCATGGAATTGAAAAAGGAAACAGTGTTATCAAAACATTAACCAAGAAAAATAAAAGGACCCCTTTACTGCAGTGGTCAATATGATTTTAACACTGGCTTTCCTACTGGCAAATGTTTGCTTTAAAGGGTGATAGTGAGATAGATGCCTAGAGAGTAAAAGAAAGAACGTTTTAAAAGACCAGCAATATCAAAACCCAGTATCACTGGGGTTAAAATATCTTTCCAATCATAAGGTAAACTACATAACCTCTTGTTATAACCACTACATTTAACACAAATTTTGCAATAATAAAAAATACAGCAAATATAAAAACTCTACTTGTACAGATAAGAGTCCCAAAAGGCACAGATGATTTGCTTTTCCAGACCAGCAGATCCTGCTGAAACATAGCTGCGACTTGGACTCATGTCATGTGACTCCTTTGTGAGTTCTAACATCTTATTAACTAAGAATACAGGAGCACTGTAACTTAAAATACCTATTTATTAGGTATCACAGTAATTATAGTTGTAGTACTAGCTTAGTAAATACCAGTTCTAGTCAACGCATAGGTTATCTGAAGAAAATGCATTTACTTTGGAGCTTTGTTCTCCTACTGAAAATTCTCACCTAAGTAAACTTGCATAATATAGTCTACATAGTCTAAATTCAAGAGAAGTCTTGGGGTGATATTCAGATCATTCTTCTACCTTCTGCTACACCTCTTTCTTTCATTTTCTTCCTAGGTCCTTTGCATTTTCATCCTTCTTTAAAATTTTTATATTAAGTTTAAAAGCAGATCTAACTATGTATGCCTCGGCCAACTTCCAACTTGTGGACTTCCTATCTCCATTTCTGAAGTGCTCAGATTCACACCTGTAAGACTTAAGTTTCTAAGGATTTCAATTTCCAGGGGGAATCATTAAAGATATTAGAGAGGAAGTGCACCACTTTCCTTAGAGGACTTGCTACAAATGAAAATAATTTCAATAAACATTACTTTCAGGAAAAGCACTTACCAACCATTTTACACAATATAATACAATTTAATGACCCCCCCCCGTGAGATTTATATATTTTTTGACACAAAGTAGGAAAGCAACCAAAATTAGTTCCATTTGGAGTAGTCTGTCTCAGAGGAATGAAAGGGGTCATGAGGCCAATTCTCATGTGACATCGCCACACTGAAGATGAAGGAGCCACTGACATATTTTCAGCATTACTTTTCTAAAGAAAATTGACAAGAGACTGGTGTAAAAATTTCAAGGGGTTTTAAAACAGAGATGACAGGGGCTAGAGAGATGGCTTAGTGGTTAAGACCACTGACTGCTCTTCCAGAGGACCCCGGTTCAATTCCCAGCACCCGCATGGCAGCTCACAACTGTCTGTAATTCCAGTTCCAGGGGATCCCAACATCCATGGCAAAACACCAATGCACATAAAATAATGAAAAATAAATTTAACAAAAAACAGATGAACACAAGCATTTTCAAATTTAAGGAACTTATCTTCGTTTCTTATAAAATTAACTAAGAATGAAAATTAAGGCAGAAAGAAAAATATAATATGTATTAATTGTAATGGAAAAATATTATATATCATTACTAGAACCTTACTCTTCTGTAGAGGTTTCAATCAGTTTATCCTTACTTTCTTATTTAATTTTTGCAAAATTTATGTGATTTGGCCACTTATAATTATTATTTCCATTTTAGTAAATCAGAAAAGGGCTGGTGATAGTTTATAAAACTTTCAATGTCATACAGTAAGGCACAATAAGCATTCAGATGCCTCTCAGGCCACCTGCTGAATGTTTACTTTTAATCACTAAAGTAAACCACATGCATACCACCATATTAGCATTCACAAACTTTACAATGTGGCTATGTGAAAGCAACCTCATTCATAAAGCTATTAATTTATCCCACAATGGCTTAGCTAGATCTCCTGTGTTTGACGTTCTTTTGTAGGTTTTGGCCAAAAATACTGAACAAAATAGAAAACAAACAAATAAAAAACCATTTACTTCACAGCATTTATATTGTGGTGGAGAAGACTAGATAGAAACAAGGTAAACAAGGTAAGAATAGAGTATATGAATAACATGGAAAATATCAAAGCACAGAAATGATGAGGTCAAAGAGAAAATCAGAGCTAGAGCAGGCATGGCATTTTAGATAACAATAATGAGTTGGCTGCTAGTCTAAAGAAGATGGTACGGAAAGTTTCCAGGGAGACAAAGAGCACAATCTCATTTCAATTTGATAGAGTCACTCTGGGAATTACTCTATAGCATCAACTGCAAGACAGAAGAGACAGTGTGGGAACTGTTGCATAGCAATTACCTCTAAGATAAAACATTTCATCTTTGAGGGAAGTTCTTGAAGATTCAGACTCTTCTAAAGCAAGGGGAAGCATCTACCTTGCAAGCAATTTCATTAAAATTCAGGAATTCAAGAACTCAATAGCTTCAGGAAATCCCTGACCAGATTCATTAGCCCTTTCTTTCCCCAAGCTTATATAGTAGTGAGGATTGCTAAGAGACACCTAGACTAGAACTACCTAGAAGATGCTCAGACCAGTCAAGATACCTGGAAAAGTCAGAGCAGTCAAGCTGCCTAGAAAAGGCTATGACAAAGTTGCCTGCAAGTTACGCAGTGAGTTCTTGGTTTATAGCTACCAAGAGTCATCACCTGTGCTGGAATGGGCTTTTGTTGATGTGACTGTTTTTAAGTTATTTCCTCTTTCCTAAGTAACTTCCCCCAAATCACTGACCGGTTCATCAAACTGGACTTTGGAGATATTGTTGCTTTGGTTTGTCATTGATTTTGATTCCCTATCTGTGATGAGTATCTTTTTGTTCATGTCTCCCCAGGGTCCATTCACACAGCAGAAAGTAATGTGGAGATGAAAATAGAAAGAAAAGAGGATGGCACATACCACGATTCTAGTACTTCTAATTAGAGGAACATGGAGGAGAAAACAGACATTGTGATCAAAGAAATATGGAGAATAAAACAGTTTTAAAGAATGTAAAAGAAAGCATAGTCAAAGTAAGCTCTATTCTCTGTTGTCAAAAAGAACACAAGGACAATGTTGATTAGCAAGGGAATATTAATAAGGATTTATTTGTAACTTCTCTGGTACAAAAATCAAGAAAGAGGAAAGAGGGGAGAAGGAGGGAGGGAGATAGAGATATAGACAGATAGGTAGGTAGGTAGATAGATAGATAGATAGATAGATAGATAGATAGATGATTGATAGATGATAGATATATGATTGATAGATGATAGAGGATAGATAGATGATAGATAGATAGATAGATAGATAGATGTGTGTGTGTGTGTGTGTGTGAGAGAGAGAGAGAGAGAGAGAGAGAGAGAGAGAGAGAGAGAGAGAGAGGCAAAATGGGGATTCTCAAGTT